AATGGCGGCCTGGTCCTGCCCTGACCCCTCCCAGGGCCCACAATTTGCCATCTGTTGGAGGGTCAGGGAGGAGATGGCCAGATAGGCCAGTTGTCACCAGACAGGAAATGAACCGATGTCTGTCCCTTCATCCGAGTCCCCGGCTACTCCAGGGGGTGGGGATGGGGCCCAGATGTACCGCTCACATCTTGGCAGGGGTGACTGTGTGTGGCAGCAGGGGGACAGCGAGGGTCAGAGCATGTGCCTGTGTTTACGTTGGCCTGTCCATCTGTGCATGTCTGTGAGTGGTGGTGAGAGAGGGGGCTGGGGCTGGACGTCTGTTCCGGGTATGACTGGGTCTGCCCATGTGCCTCTGGGCCAGGCGGTGGTTTCTCCTCCTTTGTCCTGATATCTCTGCCCACCCACAAGTGTGCATCTATGTGTAGGCCTGTCTGCCGAGGCTCCACTGCCCAGGCCTCTGTGTGTAGCCATGCAGCCCTGTAGACTTGTCTGTCTGTGTTGGGTTCCAATGTCTTCCTTCGAAGAGTGAGTAGTGGGGGAGGAGACTGTACGGCTCCTGTTTAGCAAGAGGGTTTGTCCAGACAAGTCTGCTTGCTGGGACAGGACTTCCTCTCAGCAGACTCAGGTGAAAGTGCTTGGCTGTCACTGTCTGTTGCCCAAGGCTCTGCAGTGACTAAGTCACTATTCTACAAGCGGCACCCACTGGGGACAAAGGCATGTCATGACCTCCCAGCTGAGGCCACCTTCATGAGATGGGCCCACCTGAGAAGAAAGGTCCAGTTTGGTTACTCTAAAGTCAGCTGTGCCATAGAATCTCTGTGGGAAGTGACAGATTAAGGGGTTCAAGATCAGTTCGGATGAGGAAACTAGGCTAAAAGAGGAGTGTCTTGTTTGAGGTCACAAACTACTTGCCATAGCTTCTTGAGTCAGTGCTTATCAAGCACTTATTGTGCGTCAACCACTATATGAGGCATGAAAATGAACAACCACAAGTTCAATCCATTGATTCTGCTGTTGAGATATCCACGATTTAGCTGGGGAGACAGATACATGACCAAGCAGTTATGATAGATCCAGGCTGACACTCACCGCAAAAAACCAAGGAGTCTAAAAGAAAGTTATACAATCCTATCTTCAGAAAAGCCAGGGAAGGTGTAGAAGATACAATGCTGGTAAAGATGGCCACAACCTTAACCCCTAAACCTGCAAAGATGCCTACATGACTTCGCAGTTGGGAATAAGTGAATGTTCTTGAGATGGAGAGATCACCCCAGATTATCCAGGGAGGCCCAATGTAATCACGAGGTTCCAATGAGTAGGAGACAAGGGGTCAGAGTCACAGAAGGTGATGTGACCACGGAAGTTAAGAGGCCAGACATGGCAGAAGAGAAGAGATCTGCTGGTTTCCAACATGAAGGGGCCACAAACCAGAGACCACAGGCAGCCTCTGGAGGCTGCAGAAGTCAAGGCGGCAGATTCTCCCTGGAGCCTCCAGAAGAATGAAGACTGCCAGCCCCTTGCTTGGCCAGTTTTGACTCATTTTTTAATTCTGAACTCAAGGATGGTAAGACAATTAATTTGTGCTCTTTTAAGCCAATGATTTTGTAGCTTGTTACAGCAGCAACATAGGAAATTGCCAGAGGGGCCCACAGACAGGAGGTGACAGAGGCAGTGTATTCCACCTCAGTGTCAGGTGTGCCTGAAAGTAAGGGGCTGGAGGGAGCAGGAGGTGAGGTCCTTCAAAGAAGCCTGGGTGGTGGACCACCTGTGGGCTGGGTCACTGCCAGGGATCCACCGGGATCTCTGTCCCCTCCACAGGCCACCTCCTTTATGGTCCCCACCCTCATCCCTTCCATGGGGCAAAAAAGGGTGTGAGATTTTCTGTAGGATTTTCGAGGGACAGAAGATGATTGTTGCAAAGTGCTTACTTAACACAGGGGCTGGTGCACTATTTCTGTCGTGGGGAATTCATTCCACAGAAGCTGGGCTTGGAAGGTCATCAGGCACAGAGGGAGATGGATTCTGCGGGGCGTTTCTTGGTTCCCTGAAGGAGCCTTGCTTGTATCCCACTATATTGCCTTTTTGGGGTCCTCCTCATCCTAGTTCATGCCTGTGTTTGAACAACCAGCTCATAAAGTCACATTCAAGGGTGAGAAAAGACCCTGGCTTTTCCCGGGATTTGCTAAGACAGGTAGCCTTAAATTGGGGGGGGGGGGGATTCTACAAGACAGAGCAGAGTAAGAGGGCAGATGCATGCTGGATTGTGAGGGCTGTGGAAGCTGCGTGGTCAGGAAAGGCTCCCTATAAAGCTGCAAAACCTACAGAGGGCAGAGGCAGCTGCCCTCTGTCCTCCTTTCAGTTCTCTCTCCAGGGTACCCAGTGTCCTCAGATAACCTCTTGCTTCCCCAGTTCTGTCTCCAGCTCAGCCCAGGGTCCTGAGCTGCGCTTCTGTCTTCCTCACCATCAAAACCAGGATGGTGGATCTAACAATGAAGATAAGAAAGGACCCACTGCCATTTGTTCTCCAAGCTGAGCATTTCAAAGCACCTGTCCTGAGCAGTGCAGCCTCTTGCCTAACCTCTCAGCCAGTTTAAAGGAGGTGGAGCACTCAACATTATAAAACAGGTCTTAAATCTCAAGGCCATGACTGCATCAGCTCAAAGGGTTGAGAAGCCTCCTGTGAGACTGCTGGATACTTCTGGGGCAGTTGTCTATGCTGTTGATGCCTTGGTTAGCTCAAACCATCCCTCCAAGACCACTGCCACATGCAGGGGCAACATTCTGGAGTCTGGGAGCCTCACGGGAGCAGCTGTGCACTAGCTCTGACCCCAGATAACTTGAATCATTTCTCTGAGCCTCAGTTACTGCACCTGTCAAATGGTTTCAGGTGCTAATGAGGAGCAGAAGTGCTGAAGGGGTGCTAGCAGAGACGAGATGCTTTACCAAGGCTAGCACCTGATTCCAGCCTGGTGTTACAGTCACCACAGAGAAATAGTATAGTCAGACCCCTCACTTCCCTGCTTGAACATAAACCCTAGTCTTCCCAGTCTCTAATGGTGCAAGGCCTAGGTTGCCCCAACTTTATATTTTTAATTACAAGTGTAGCAGACTCCAATCAGGGCCATGAAGCCGAGAAGGAAGTACAACCATAGCCCCACAGGTGGTATGTGTGTGTAGGGGTGGGGGGAGGTTGAGAGGGGGCAGTGGTGGGGGTGGGTGCTGATTCAGCCAAGAGAAAAATGCAGAAGGGCACAGGGGTTACCCTTGGTGCAAATCCCATTTCCTATTCGCACTTCACATTGAAGAATACACTGGTCTGAGACAGCTACTCTCATTCATGATTTGTTCCCCCCAAAACAACTAATGAACAGAGTCATCAAAACAGCCAGTCCCTTGGGAGAGGATTCCCAGGCCAAGGCTGGCAACGGCTCAGTGCCATCCTCCTGGGACCTGCTCTATTACTCCAACTGCTCTCCCTCCTGTGCCCGCTGCACACTGGGTCAGGCCCTCCGCAGCCTGTGGGGGTGCCCAGTCTATGGTTCAGTCACAGCCCCACAACAAACCATGCATCCAGCCTATGCCTTCTTCATCCTTTTGCCTTCAAGAGAATGCCGCTTGTTAGGTTCTCAAAAAGGGTTACATCTGGCC